TCCATCAACTTTAAATGTTCACTCCTCTCTCTCCAGCCGCGCACACTCTCTCAATCGGCGCCTCCGTCTTCGCCTCCTGCGATAGGATCTCCGAGAACCAGTGAGTGTTGATGGCCAGCCTCACATCCACCTCCTCGACCCGCGCCCATCATCACTGAGTGCCTCCTCGATGTCGACGTCGACGCGCTACCCTGGCATTCGATCGACACCTGTAGGGCGGCGTCGCACCATATTACAAAAAAGAGTCTGACAATCACGTAACCATTCTCTTCCTCTCACTCTTCTCCGCTTTCAGTCTTTTCCCCTTTCCCAGTTCCATTTCAGTCCGACTTCCCCTAGATCTACTTTGTGCTTAAAAAGTTTGTAATTTTTGCATTTTTTTTTCATGTTTTCAGGTCCCATTTATGTTCTTTAGATGATATGTTGAATGTTTTTTTTTTCGGCCCTACTCTTATCGTCTGAGTATATTTGTTTGTTTCCCATTTGTTAGTGATGCTTGAGCTGACAAGCAGTGGGTCGAGTCCCGGTAGCTCACGAGCGGCGGTGGTAGGGCTTATGAAGGTGCATTCGTGGACGACGGCAGCAGTAGCTCTGATGGAGTACTCATCAGGTATGTACTATTTGTTACAGAAAGCATAAGTCTTCGTCTCCCACACTCACATTCGTAATTGCTCCTACAAATTCAATCTTTTTATTTTCATTCACAGAGCACCCACAATTAAACACTACCGGCGTGGCTACACACTCCGGCCAGAGAAGACAGGCTTGAAGACAAATTTTCAGGTACTTTTATTCAGAAATAGAAAAAGATAGTTGATATAAATTATAACCTGTTTGTTGCTTATATTTCTACACATTTGCTTGTTTGGTTGTGGCAACAAAGGGATTAAACTTTTTGGGTTCTGTAACAGGATAATTTAGGCAGCTCAAGCGACCTAAACATCTCATACGGTACGTCGCGATGTTGTTATCTTAAACTACCTAATATATGTTTTGTAAACGACGATAGAGACTTCACTAAAAGGTATGTGTTTGTTTTTGTTTTAATTCTTTGGTTTTTTTGACAATTTTTTTTTCTATGTTTCCTGTTTGAAGAGGCTGTATATGGTTGCGATTGTGGATGTCGCCAGGTACAGGTGCCATCAATGTCGTAGTTTCGGAGGGGTTGCAGACAAACCCCATTTTAACTATTTATTTATTTATTTTTTTTTTTTTGCTGTTGTTGGGTGATTTTTACTTGATAAAACTATCCTGGTTATATTGTCTAGCTGAAATTGGTAATCGATATCCCCACAACCCACCACTGGAAAAAGTTATATGAATTTGGGCTTTTTTCCCTACTTATTTTGCTTGGTTTCATGATCTTATTATCGCAGGAAGTACCGGAGAACAAGAGCCGCATTTCAGTTATAATTTTTCCCTTTTTTTTTTTATTAATCTTTAAATTTTGACATGGCGTAGTGAAGGTGAACCGATCTTCTGCTTTTTTTTTTTTTTGCGATTAAATATTGTTTGTTGGTTGAATTGGACCTGTAGAAGTGAATGACTGTTTAGTATATAGTTACATTTTGGGTGTTGGGAATAATATGAGGTAATTCTGATCATTTTGGTTTCGAATGGGTTGAAATATGAATAATTTAGCAAGCATGCCCATTCCAGGTCTCCCAACATGCCAGTTGCTTGAAAATCGGAAAGCATGGGCATACGAAGTGTCACTTTGTGGCTATCGACATATTCAATGGAAAGAAGCTTGAAGATATTGTTCCATCGTCCCACAATTGTGATGTAATTTGGCTATTAAATTATTTTCTTCTTTCTGTAACATTTTCTTTTTCGTCTCCGAGTTTCTTTAAAGGCAGCACTGTATTTGTGTTAAATTGCTAAAATCGTTTGATGTGGTCTTTTCAGGTGCCTCATGTGAACCGTACTGATTATCAGCTTATTGACATCTCCGAAGATGGTTTTGTAAGTTATTCACATTGACGAGTGTGTAACACAAGATTTACTTCATTATTCAACATTTATTTTGAAAGATTTCGATAACATCAGCATTTTAACTTTTCTTTTGCATACCAGGAGCTTAGTGTGACAATTGAATATTCACTAATATTCGAGTTAAACAATTAGCTAAGTTCATATAAATTTTTAGTTAAACCTTGTGTATAGTTCTTTGTTATTAAGCATAATCGATTTGATATTTCTTCTTAATGAAAGTTCAGTTACTAGAGACTATTTATTATTAGATTTGATCCACCTTACTCTGCAGAAGTAGGATAATTATTTGGTTGGCTGCGTTTTCCAGTATTGTGGCCTTCTTTATCACCAATTTCAATTCACTATAGAAGCTGGGTGGTTATTTTATAAATTTTAGTTTGTTTTCTTTTAATTCAGAAATTTTGAGCAGTTTAAGGTTTGTGTGTCGCGGGTCTATCTTCTGACTGAAAATGGCGACACCAAAGACGATATGAGGCTTCCTACTGATGAGAATCTGCTTGGTCAGGTGACAAATTTCAAAAGTGTCCACAACTTACTACGGTTCGCCCGTTTCTGTTTACATTTTTCTGATGAAATGGTTGTGCTTGGTTTTTTTAGGGTGCCATATTCTTTTGCCTTAAGTTTCGAAGATCGCAAGGTATGGTTTTAATAATGCCTATCTCATAATCTTCACTGTTATACCTTTATGATGTTTGGGACAATGTATAATTTTCATATTTTGTCTGCAGCTGTCTTGCGTGGTTAGATTGTTCATATGTTTTTAATAATTGCCTTGGTTTTGAATACTTTCCCTCTCTTGGTTTTGTTAATTGTAGATGTTCACAAGTTTCTTATGAGATTTTTGTGAGTGAGTTGAAGTCTGTCTGATGATACATGAGCAATGATCCTAATACAATAGTTGTATTAGTGTATCAGATAATAGTACAATATTAATTATATTGAAACTCTATTATTATTATAATTGATTACCTCCTTATACTGCTTTGTTTTTCCAGGTGGTACTAATATTTTATTTTATATTTTGTTATGTGTGCTTATTAGTATCGATAGTGGTGTTGTCTTTATAGCTTTGGTGTTTTGCATTTGAGCCCGTAGAGGGGAACAATAGAGGGAGAAGTTGTTGATGTGAGGAAAATTCCCGCCAAGTATGTAATGTTATTTGTCCACATAAAATTCCAAAAGGAGTTGTCGTTCACTACTTCTCAGCTTATGTTATTTTCACAATTCAAACGGTCTAAGGGACTATATAGTTTATTTTTTTATTCTGTTATTCTTTTGTTGGAAACTGTTACATAATTATAAATCTCTCTTTCGTAAGGTGTCTGTTGGTTGGCGTCAACGTCGGAAAAAAATAGCTAGCACCCGCTAATATCACCGATCAGAGGCACAACGTTTTTTTCTAAAAAATTATGAAAACATTTTTGTGCCTCAAGTCTACGATTCATGAGTTAGATCAGATCTTAGCCCGCTATTTCTGGAGCTATGGCGAGGGCGCGCGCGGTCGGCGGCAGACCCACTGGGTGAAGTGGGACTCCATCTGTCGTCCCCACGCTGAAGGTGGGCTTGGGATTCGGCGTTTCTCTGATATGGTTACAGCGTTTTCCTACAGGATGTGGTGGCGCCTTAGGGAGGGCAAGTCCCTTTGGGCCCAATACCTCATGAGGAAATATTGCCCTAGTGGTGCTGCTCATCCCTGCAGGGTGACAGCTACCGCTCGGGATAGTCGTCAGTGGAGACGTCTTACCATTGTTGGTAGGCGTGCTCAGGAGCACATTTTTTGGACCTTGGGTTCTGGGGAGGTTAGCTTCTGGGATGAGTGGTGGTTCGGTGAGGGCCCCCTTT